AATGTCTTCCTTATCCACTGCAAGGGCTCAGCTTGGAGGAATATCTTTCTGGGACTTCCAGTCTCAGTTCCCACCCTCTGCTGCTGATTGTCTTCACTCACTGGATCCTCCACAGCACTGTACTATGCAAATATATACAACCCAAGGCTCATTTTGGAATAAATCAATCTAAATTAAAATAATGAACAAAAAGTACAGAAACGGATCAGGCAGTAAAGACATTTCTCTTTCTTTTCCCCTGTGTCTCTCTTTTTTCTCTAAGAAAGCTTGTTTCTTTTCTCTACACCTTTTTCTTTTGGGGAGGGGAGGGGTGGGAAGCAGCAGATTGGCTTTTAATTTTTTTAAGCAATCTCAACAAACAGAAGCTGTCTGTTGCTATTCAGCAAAACCCACCAAGCAATGTTGGTAGCTTGGCATCAATTCTTGGCATGTCTCTTTTCCCTAAGTTGCTGTTTTTGTCTACATTCATACTACCTCCTTTTGGAAGACAGTATCATCACCTCTGGCTTTGGTATTACTCGCTTTAAACCACACAGCCAAAATAAGATACAGTGCCATCCCTTGCCTCGTACCTATGAAACAGCACGAAGCAATTACTGTGATGCTGGCTGCCTGCCCTCACCCTGCCTTGTCCTCCCTGTTCCCTTGGCCTGAAGGCCCCACAGGCTTGGCACCCAGTTCAGTGCCAGCCCTCAGTGCCTGAAGCGCTGGCAGGGACTGACTCTGACCCTGAGCAGCCAGACAACCTTGGTCTGTCTGAGCATCCATCCTGCAGGGCCAATCCCTTCTGCACTCACCAAATGGACACTGAGCTCTTTGGAAAACCTGGGTGGACAGCACCCGTGAGAAGCAAGGAGAGCTGTGAGTTGTGCTTCCCACCTGGGGCCATGGGTGTGATCAGCTGCTGGTGCCTGGGGCTCAGGCAGCTTTCAGGGAAGGGAGGCATACCCTGAGTAGTCAGCCACACATCCCTGTGCAGTGACCCATACAGCTGAACTATGTCCCTCAAATGCCTTAGGATTCATGGGAATACCAGACTTGACATGGTTTCAAATACACCCTCCTGTGCTTGGTCCCTATGGCTATTATTTTTTTCCGGTCATTATTTTTTCCCTATTTCTCTGTAGGGATCACAAAAATACAAGATTGTCTATTTTGGCCTGTCTATGCTTCCCTAGCTCTGCCAACCAGTTTGCTTCATGGGCCTGAAGGCCTGGATTTTCACTGACCCTTTTCTGGAGCCCAAATGAGACAGCACCCTCAGGCCTCAGTGAAGAGGGCTCCAGAGGTGGATGGGTCTTTCAGCTGGTCACATCATACTGGCAGGGCTGACTGCCTAGTCAGCAAACCTCCATAAAAAGTTAACCCTTTACAGCCTATAGTCTCTGCTGTAATCCGCCTTGCTTCTCTCCTTAGCTTTGGTGGACTCAGATGTCCACCCTTTTGCCAAAGCAGGCCCTGCTGACTCGAGAGCAGCCAGCTCAGCAGAACTGGCAGGGCCATGCACTGCAGAAAGCAAAAGAGGAGCAGAAATGGGTGGGAGGTGCCCACTGCAACAGAGGAGCTCTCTTCTGCACAGATAGAATACCCAGAGAGAGGAAAGAGGACTGAGAGGGTACTAGAAAGAAATGTGCTCTCTGTTTCCCACTCTGGCCATCAGACCCAAATGAACATCTCTTTTCTCCCTTCCCCCAGCTCCCACCCACCTGATGAAGGCATTAGTGACAGTACAGGCTACACAGGCTACAGCTAAATGGAGACTAGCTACGATCTACAGTCACACAGGGTCATTCTCCGATCAGTGCACGTTTTGGCAGAAAGGCAGGACTCCTCATTCTCCTTTTCCCTCCCACTCTGCTAATTGCTAACACACTACAGCTATAAATCTTGTGTCAACCTATTGATGGCTGTGACTTTGTCTTATCAGGCCCAAAGACTGACACATTTGTTGCCCTGTGGGCAGCTCTGAATGTGCTGCTTTCTGAAACACCACATCTCCCTTGCCTAGCTCCCAGGACATCAAGCTCACCACCCTGAGAAAGCCCCTACTTAGCCTCTGGCAAGCCCTCATCACAAAACTCCTATGAGGAAGACTCACAGGTTTTGCAGCCCATCAGTCTGGCCAAGCCATTCTGATGTGGACACTGGGTGCTAATCCAAGGGAAGGAGTTCATGTTCAAAGGGCTGAGGATGAGAGACAATGAAGGACAAAGATGGAGCTAGTGCCATAATTGTGATAGGTCCCTTTGAGGTTCAACAGTGGCCACGCTTGCCCTTCCATTGGCAGATGTGGTGTGGAATGAACAAATTCTCTTTTTAAAGAAGAAAAATCCTTTTGAAAAGGCATCTGATGATGCAGTAAGGCCCCTGCTTTGTGACTGCCAGGTCTTGTGTCAGCCCATTATAACATGATGTTACAATGCAGACAGAAAGATGTGATGATGTGGCATCATCCCAGAAGACATTTCAAGGCATTTTGAGTGCTGGGCTGCAAAATAAGGAGAGCTGGAAAATTTGTCAAGGACAACTCAGCTGAGAGCTGAATCAGCTGGGCTCCACCAGCATTTTAGGAAAGTGTCTCATCAAATTCAAGTCCCATTTGTTTAGTTGAATGGGCTGCTTCTGAGTCTCCAGCCTGCCTGAAAGCAAGATGTTTCCACAGCAGCCAGCTAATGATAGCAATGCTTAGCAGGACTACAGCACTCTTCGTCTCAAATCACCTTCCTTTTAAATTAATGCTCAAAACCCCACAGGGCAGGGAAGTGTTACTGAGGATTAACAGAAATGAAAATTGAGGGAGAAAGAGGAAGAAGGCTGTGGTTCTGGTCATTGAGGAACAGCTTAATTGAGGGCTGAGGACTACATTTCAGAACATCAGCTCATAGGAAGAAAAAGGTCTAACAAAATTGTATGCCCAAGGTTTCTTTGAAGGTGAGCAGCAAAGTAAAAGCAAATGTGAAAAGCATCTGTGCTGAAGGCCCACAACAGAGAAGCTGGTAAGGGCTTTCAGAAAACAAGTGAGGCCCAGAGTATTTAAACTCTGCTTTCCCACTCTGCAAAATCCTCTTGGGGTGTCCTGGGTCACTGGAGATACACCAGCATTTGGCACCACAAATTCTTGGAGACTCCTCACAGGAGTGATGGCATACCAGGATGTCCTTCAAGACGATCTCAGGAGACTGGGGAGCAGTAAAAATGTAACAGCTTCAGAGACAGAGGGGAAGGTGTTTTAAAGGATCAACTAAAGCTGTGCAGGATGGCCTTGGCAAGTTGATTAGGAGGTGTATTTGTAATGGGAATCCTGGCCTTGCTCACTCGCAGATTTTGCTTTATCATTTAGCTTAATGGGCTCCTAATTCAAAACCAGCTGTAAACAGGGCTGCTGTGAAAAAAATTAACACTGCCTGCCTGTGGAATTTAAGGATATATAATAAAAATAATCATAAAACCAAAGAGCCCTGGTTTTTTCATCAGGCAAAAATATTTGTCATTGAAAATTCTGCTGAAAAACAAGAACACCTAAAATTGGAAAACTCCTCAAAACCCTACATCCAAAACAGCCTCAGCAACTTTAATTTCATATCCAAGCACAAGTTTCATTTGCAATACATAAGATAATGGTGTTTAATTGGATTTATTTTTCCACAGTAGGTTCCCAATGGCCTACTTTACTCCTTTTCTCAGCTCCTTGAATGTTATTTACAAATCACTCTCTGGGATTTAATTTTAATGGTAGCTTGATTTCTACCTCCTTTTTCTTTCTTTCTTTCTTTTTTTTTTTTTTTTTTTACATTTTTAGGTACTTTTCTTTAATTGTATTTGTGGATTTGCCTTTTAAATAGGCAATTGTGACTACATCCTGAGCCTGAATAAGTTGCCAAGAGCAGAGCTTGATTTGAAAACAGCAGAGTAGTTAAACGGAGCATGTGTAACATGCAGCATTTATTGTTCTTTTCATGGGAGTACCTGCAGGTGCTTTGTTCAAGCAGGTGCTCTTTTGCAAAACAACATGGGTTCCTAATAACACTCTATCCCAAAGCTCTGTGCAGACATTAACAATTTAGGTCTCTGAGCAACCCATAAGTTGAGTGCATCCTCCTCATATGGCAGTAAAACAAAGATACTGAGGAGATGTAGGCCAAGATTTTTTCAAACACATGGATTTGCTGCCTTATGGTTGATTTAGTTTCAAACACCACTTTCAAATGCTGTAGCCTGCTTTCTGGACATGCCTGGTCTCTGTGCTTTTTCAGAATGAAAGCGTCACAACCAAGCCCCAAATCTCATGTGGATGTTGGGACCATGCTCTCTACGCCTAAGGCAGGAGTGGGCAACACAGAGACAGAAAAAAAAAACCACACAGACCCTATTTTGCCTTCATACCTACTTCCCTTTTGGAATAAAGCAGACAGTAACACCTCACCATGTGCCTCTTTTCATGCTCTCTGCCTCAGATGTAGGATTATGTGAGTGGAAGACTTGGAGAGGTGGGACAAAAGCATGAGAAAACAAAGTGTTTCACTGTGGATGGTAAGATGCTCAGCTAGAGTGAAAAAAACCTGGCAGTGTTTTAATTTTCAGTTTTCCACTTGTCCTTTTCACCGTCTCTGCAAAATGTTAGGTCTGCTTATGCTTTTGATCCAAAATGTGAACAAGTGGGCAAAGAGAGATTAGGATGGGAATGTGTTTTAAAAGTAGGTCTGCAGGGAGACTGAACCTCCCTAAAGAATGTCCACACCTGGGTGACAACTCAATGTCCTTGCTCAAAGCTTGGTTAAAGGCTGTTGCTATTCAGCTGATTGGTTTTTTGAAGAGGGAGGGGGGAAAAGAAGGATGAGGAAAGTGAGCAGAAATGAGAAAATGACATGTAAATGATAAGGGAAAGCCCTTATTTTCCTGCATTTCTGAGCTGTTTTGCCCATGCCTAGGTCTGAGCGTTTGTCAGGATGACGGAGAATGACCCGGCTAAAGAGCTACTTCAACATAAAGCATATACTGACCTGGAAAAGGATTGGGGAGTGTGGGTAAAACTCGTTCTAAAGGGGGAAAAGAAACAATAAGCAACGTGCAGGAGAAAAGCCACTTTTCACACCAAGCAAGCAGCAGATACAAACCTGATGGAGTTGTCCATCCCCAAATTAAATGAACTAGAGTAGGTTTCATATACAGAGCATTTTGCTAGCAACACGCCTAATACACATCAACATCCCCTGGGACTGGGAGTCAGAGAGAAGTGATTTGAAAAACTAAACAAATAATAGCCAAACAGCAAGAGGGATTAAACACCTGCAGTGAAGGTAATTGGAGTTGATGGTCCATATCTTCCCTCTGACTTTCAAGACCACTCATGTCATCACTCTACAGCTCCTCTTAGCTACACCTCTGCCTGGAAGCTAGTCTTGGCAGAGAGGTGAGCTGTGGAAGTCTTCCATGGGCAGTTGTTGCCTACCCAAAACCTTTTCCACAATGGATTTCTTGCCAATGACAGCTCCCTTGAGGATCTGTGCATGGAAGCAGTCACCCTGGTGAATCCTCAAGGGTATTCTGCTTCTTTAGTTTTTGTCCTCTGAGAGGGACAGAGTTTTTGCAGAGCCTGCTGTCTTGTTTATAGGGTTTTTATAAAGTGCCCTTGCTATGCGTCATAGCAGGACTTTGATATACATCACTGCTGGCTTCACAGTTTGCTTCTTCCACAAAGGATCCCAAAAGAATTGCACAGATACTGAGGGAAACCAGTATCAGAGACCTCAGTCTGAGGCTAACAGTAGTGTTAATTCTACTTCATACATGGTACTGGTGATGCACAGAGCAAGGAAGCAATTTGCCCAAGGTCAAATGCTGAACTGCTGGCAGAGCCAGACACAAACCCAAGAATACAAGGCCCCCAGGCCTGACTGGTATCACTGGGTCTCCTTTCTTTGCCTTCAGAGCTTCCTGGATGCCTTGTACTGACTGAGACAAGCTCCTACCCATGGACTGATCCATAGGTAGACATTTAGCTGCAACAGCTCATAGGTCTGGGGCAATGGGTTATCTCCTGGCTTACCTGCTAAGATCACTGCTGATGGACACAGAACTTGGAAGGATAAATCAGTAGGCCACTATTACTCTCTGATCACCTAGGCCCAGCTATTTGGAGGCCAATGCTCTTTCTACAGTATCCTTGGTGCAAAGACTTGAGTTTGTGTCTTGCTGGAGCTCATGAGGATTGAGCAGGTCAGGCCCATCCCTATGACACTGGCAGCACTCCTGCCCTCATGGTGGTAATGGAGTTGTTTGAATCCACAGCAGGCACAGCAGAGATCAAATACAAGTCTAGCCTGGATCTCTCTGTTTATGTAGCAACAGGGGACTATTGTTCTGCGAAAGCAGGCTGTTTGTGCTGACAAGACTTCCTTGTTATTTAGTTTGGTTAAATAACTCAACTCCCCTTTACCTTCTTCCTGCACAGCAGGCTGCAGGCTGCACAGCATAAGCAGTTAAAGCAAAGCACTACGGCCTCATTATCATGCTGCTTTCTATTCAAGGACTCTGTCTCTGTTCCTCTCTCCCACTGTGTGCTGCTTTTATTGCTCCACCCTGGCTCATTAGCAGTGTCTCAGCCTTGCCCCCTCTGACTGTCAGCCCAAACCACTTTCCTCCCTCCTGAGTCTCCCTGTTATTGACAGCCTTGAGGAAAACAGGGGGTGTGCACTAAGAGCCACTAAGAGGGATTTCGGCCACAGTCGAGGTTCCAAACCCCAGCAGCCACCACTGTAACCAAATGCTCAGGGCACAACAAAGCGTGGGCAGAGTGGAAGGAGGGGTGTGCACACTCGTGGCAGGATACTAACAAATAATGACAAGTTAGAGGCTAATGCCAGCTTTTAGGAACATGCCTTGCTGCAACCAAAACTGCTGGGCTCCACCTGAAGCTGCTTGAATTGGCACTGTCTTGCCAGCTTCTGCTTCACCTCCGCGCTTGCTGATTCCCCAAAGGGTGCAGAGGATGCAGCAGGGGACCTGCTGATGTGGCAGTCTCCCATAATTGAGCCAATTGAGCCAGCAGGACTGCATCAGGATGTGCAGCACTGTGCTGCTGTCTCCTGTTTCAGCCTATGGGATGAGCTAGCTCGGCAGGAGGCAGAGGACAACTAATTTGGAAAAGCTTTTCTTTCTTTTCTCTGCTTTGCTAGAATTCACATAGTGCTGCACCTGCTTATGTGTGCCTGTGGAGGGGCATGTGGGTTTGCTTCTACATCACAGAGGGCATGCCTATGTATACATATTCACCTACACACAAACCCATGTATCTGTGTTCCTCCAGAAAATGTGTATCTGGTATGTGTTTATACATATACACACACACACACACACACACACACACACATATATATATATATATATATATATATAAATATATATATATATATATATATATGCACAACTTCTGTGTAGCATGTGTTAAGATACAAATTGTGACTTTCACTGATCATGCTTTTCATAGTACTGCTAGGTGAGTAAAACAAAAAGAAAACATGTTCCCTACCTCCTAATACACTTGGAGGAAGAACCCTTTTTTTTCAGTTGTGTCACTGCTTTTCACCTCTGTTGTTCTGTGATGGCAGCCCTGGCTTTGCCTCTCTGTCAGGTAATATTCACAGAGATCTGTACTACTGTCCCTTTTTTTGTGCTTAGGGGTTAAAAACCTTGCTCCCAGGCTCTGCAGAGCTGAATTAACCTACTGGCTCGCCAGTGCTGCCAAACATGGCCCTGCCTCCCAACTCTTCATACCCACAGATGTGTGATAGAGCTTCCACTCCTGCATGGGCTTTGGTGCCTGTTGAGCCCCGTCAGGAACTTGTTCAGCTCAGTACAATGAAAGAAAACATTTGGGGCATTTCAGGGAGATGAGCAGTAAAGCTCATTTACCTATTCACTGGTTTAGCAGGTTAGACAGCTTCAGTGGGATGTCCACTGTGTGGCAGAATAAGGGAAATAACAAAACCATGTGGCAGAGAGCAGGATGGGCAAAAGGACTGGGGAGCAAGGAATGTCAGCAAGCTATCAGATCAGTTGTATCATCACACTGTACCTGAGTACCCTCTCTACAAACATACTCCATATTTGCTGTTGGAGACAGTTTCCTGGGTAAGTTAAACCTTTGGTAGGGCCGTATTCATGTTGTTGTAAACTCAGTCTCCAGGAGTGAGGGGTATAAATCTCACCTACAGCAGGCAATTCTGCTGCTACATCCTTTAAGGAAGATCACTAGCTATCTATTCATACAGCTCAAGGAGGCTGCTTTTGTATTTTAATGCATCTTCTATCTATGACATTGGCATCTAAGGCACTCAGTCTCTCTGAGAGTTTTTCAGTGCTGACTGAGATTTCATGAAATGCTAGCCACCAATTTTTCTCTATTGCCTAACTGTTCTTTCACATCATTTTGCTCGCTCCCTGTCTGCCCTCCACCTCAGGCAAAGCTGCCAGTAGCTCATTATTAACTCTCTGGTTGTTTCTTTACTCCTTGCTGCCATTCTTTTTTGTGCTGCAATGGGACACTGAGGAACCATCACTGTACTTACCTCCCCGGTGGGATGTTGCTCTACAGTGAGATTGTTCTCTCTTTAAAAAGGAAATAAGATCTCTGATTCCAGGGATGAAAAACACTCCCAAGTATTTGAGTATCTGCTGTACACCTTGCAAAAACTTGGCACTGCTTTATTTTTCTGTCTGGGTGTGTGGCTGGGAATGTGCATTACCTGTTATTTCAGCTACGGTGTGATCACTACAGTATTTCTTTCATCTGGGCTTGTAGGTTTTTTCAGCAGCTTTCTTTATCTTTCTGAAGCTGGATTCCCTTCATTCATTTCCCCCCTGATTTCTTAACTTTCAAAATAGCAGCTGTAGTCTGCCTGAATTTATTTTTTTTTCTCTGCCTTTCCTTCTTCCACACTAACTAGAAGAACAGAGATTTCCTGGAACAATATGAAGCAATTGCACAGTGAAAAAAGTAGGGATTAACCAAGCAGCAAAAACAAGTTAGAAAGACTTCACTAAAAATCATCAAATCTCTCTCAGCTCCTGCACTTCCATTCTCGTGGCTCTTGTGAAGTTCTCTAGTGTCCTCCAGTATAAACAGGCCTTGAATTTCTAAAAAATTATAAACCAAATCAAACAACTTGAAAGAAAGTGTTCTTCATACACATCAAAAGGGGGCTAAAATAGGATCCTCACTGTTGAAAATCATCTTTAAGAGTTGCCACATTTCCTCATGGAACAGTTTACAGCAAGGTTTTGCAAGGTTTCCCTGGGTCTCTCGCTGGTTCTGCCACTCATTTTATGACCATGGGTAAACCACTTCTTCACTCTGTACCTTCCTACTGCAAAATGGTGCCAGCAACACTCGCCCATTTCTAAATTACTTGTGATATTTAAATATTCATTACTAGCAAATCCTTTGAGATCCTTTGAGGTGAAGTTCTGGAGTCATGCAAAATGCTTCCCTAGCAAAACTAAGCCCCCAACTAAAATCATATGTGCATATATACATGATTGAATTTCATCTTATATTTTGTTTCAGTGATGCATTTCAGTTCATCTGTGTAACAGGAAGCAACAGAGAGGGCCAAATTTAGAATTCAGTCACAAATAATGGATTCTAAACTTAGAATTATATTAATATCAGCAAGAACAAATCTGGAGTATTTGAAAATTTTGTTCCAGATTGCTGCCTGAGGATTTTTTTTTAATCTCATGACAGTCACAAGACCAGGGTGAAAAGACTTTCAAAGTAGAAATTTGCTTTGTGTGCTGCAATGCTACAAGAAATCAAATATATGTTCTTTTATGATAATATCTGTTCTTTAAAAAATAGCTGCCACAAAATATACCCAAACTCACAAAAATTCAAGCTGCCATGAAATAAATCCAAAGGAGGTAAACAAAGAATGCCCATGGCTTTATCCTTTTCCTCCCATCTCTTAAAAATAACCAAACTATAACTTTGGTTTTTCTTGGTGAGAGCAGAAACTAGACCAAACTGCATCCTATACTGACTGCTTTACACAGCTTATTTTTTTTTTCTGTTTAAAAGGACATGCAGGTCATGACATGAGAGTTTAAATTCAATTTGGGACCGTCACAGGAACACTGCCATCAGTCACTTTTGTGTCTACGTGTTCATTTGTGTGAGTGGGTCATTTTGCTGCAGTGTATCTCTGATGCCAATAACACGTGGGCCAAATCTAGCCCAAGTTTTAGACCTGGAATTGGGAACTGCATTTTAAATACACCACAGTTTGTATGTGTGTGTGGATGGTAGGTGAGGGGCAGGGCCTCTGTTTTGGGTCAGGTTTGAATCAGTGCAAAATTCAGAATCAGCAGGTAACTGCTCTAGTGCTTGGTCTAGTCCCAGCTTCTGTGTGTTTATACTTACTAAGACAAACTCAGCCATTGAAAGGTAACAGAATGAGATCCAAGGAACCTTATTCCATATTTCATCTGTTGATTACCTTTCCCCCCATGGTCCCTATGGTATATCCCTTTAAAATCATTCTGTCTTTTCTCATTTCTGTCCCTTCCAGTTTCAAACCAATTTCTCTTTTTCTTGACTCTGTCACTGTTCTCCTCAGGCTCGGTGGCTAGTTCTCTCCATCTCTCTGAATTACTTGTCATTTCTCAGCTGTCATGGATCCTCCGAGCCCTGGCCTTCTGTCTACTTATTAAAGGGGCTGTCATTCTAAAGGGCTTTTTGTTTCCAGCTTTAAAACAAACACATTTTTATTATTTTAACAAAATCTGTCTTCAGCAAAGCCAGTCAATCAAAGGGCTTGACTGTAAACCTTTTGATTTGGTTGTTTGTGCTTCAAGGCAAGTATGAACACTTAGGTATCCAATGCAGAATGCTGGAAGCCAGGTCATAGCTGGAGGTCTGAGGGGACTGGGTTGTCAAGCAGATGCCTTCCTTCATGAGTTTTGGCTATCATGTGCTTCCTGCACAGCCGTGTCTTTGTGAGAGCCTCCCTTCACTCTGTCCCGTACTTACTGTAAAGGTATAGGCTGGCATTTGTGACTCCCAGCTTGTTGGCAGCCACACAGGTGTAGTTCCCGTAGTGCTCCTCAGTGACATTGGCCACCATCAGCAGAGACTGGCTCCCCGTGCTCTTTATCTCCAGACCATTGGCGCTGTTTATCCTGGGAAGGCAGGAGAAGAGGTTTTTAGTGCAATGGCAGTTGTGTACTGGGAAGGAAATCCCTCCCCAGCACACAGCAAAGCAAAGTCATTCAGCCCAGCTGGCAGGTGAGGATAGAGGGAAGCAGGGAAGGGATGTGAAAGAGACCAAAGAAGGAAGACCAAAGAAAGAGACCAAGATGGAAAACAGGAGGAGGGAATGAAAGGAATGTAGTAGTTCAGTGGGATTAAATGCCACTGGTAAATCAGTGAAGAACCAAGCAAAGACACGGGAAAGGGAGGAAGCATTTACCCAGCACTGAGTCACTCTGGAAGTGAACACACCATGGCCAGCTGAAGGCTAGTCTGTACTTGGGCATCATATTCTTAGTGAAACACACAGATTCTCAATATGTGCCTATAGCAATGCTGAGTCACCCCTGAACCTGGGCACCCTGTTCAGGGCTGGCTATCCTAAAATGTAGGGTAATAACACAACTTCTTAATGTTAGGTAAATGCTTAGGTAGAAGGACAGATCCTTTTTCTATTCTCATTTATTCTCATATGCAAGTCTGAGAGGCTCAGGTCGCACAGGTGGGGGAATCTCATTCCTCAGCAGCTCCTTTCCCTAGAAGAATGCACCTGGAGCAGCATTACCTAATTGAACACTTATAATACCTACTTTTTTTTTCTGTATCATGGGCTACTTAACATGTGAACAGTGTATTAATTGGGTATTGGCCCATAATTGACTTCAAGGCAGGAGCTCCCTCCTCTGCACTTCCTTCAGCATCCCCAGTGCAGAGAGGAATTGCCTCCTCCTGCCAGCATGACCATGCTGGCTCTGCTGAGACTGATGGGACACTGTGACTCAAATGGATTGTAAGGATCAATTTGTTTGAGAGGAGTTGGGGAGGATGACAGGAGCCCCTATTCAATGGACTGAAGAAGAGAGGAGGGAGGAGGGGAGCTAAAGGCCTTACCTGGTATCATCTCTGTACCACTCGAAATCGGGCGTGGGCACTGCTGATGCCTCGCACCGCAGTAAGGCTTGTCGTCCCGTGGCCGCTTCATTGCTCTTGGACTCTGTGATGGTGGGAGGGTCTGCAGGAAGGAAACACGTGGTCAATCCACACACTTCCAGGTGGAACAAAACAGTGAAACTATGTCAGGGCTGCCTGCCTCAAGCAAACTGTTTGGGCCACTGGAGACCCACAGCAGCTGTCTGCTGTGGCCCTTGTTCCCCCCTGCTCCTCTGCAGAATGCTGCTCTTTGAACATTCCCTGATATACAACATTAGCAGCACTCCTTACACGTGCTTCTCTTCAGCACTGCTGAAAAAAGTTCTGTCATAAATGCATAGGCATACACAGGCAAAGTTAAGGTTAATGATGGACTTCTGCAATTTATTAATATTTACCTATGGATCTGTAGTTCACATGAGCTTATCAGAGAGAAGAAGATGAGAGAAAGACTTCATCAAGGGTAAAAGAAGATAGCAAAAGTAAAGGAATAAAGTAAGAGTTTAACACTAGCGTGAAAATTATATTCCATACAAACTCTTTGCCTAATGCCAAAAATATAATAAGAAAGGACTGAGGCAACATGTATAAAACAGAAATACATTAATGGTTTCAAAGAGAAGAACTTTAGCAGAAGCTGTGGGTGCAACTCAGAGAGCTAATGTTGAGACACTTCCCTTAGGTGTCCAAGGTTACAAATCCTGATCACCTGGACATAGTGCTTTGTGAAAAGCTCCAGAAGGGCTTGCTTGTGACTGCTCTGCCTGAAGTTTGCCCTCAGTCCAGCACGCTGCTCCCACCTCTGCTTACTTTGAAGTCTGAGTGCTGTGCCATGGGCAAACCAAACTTGGAAAGCATATTGGTGTGCTCTGCTGGAGCTTGGTCTCAGTACTTGCTGGATAGCAGGTAGGGTAGGCACCAGCATCTTCAATCCCAGCCCCATGTTCAAAATATTAAGTGATAAGCTTTACATGTTAAAAGGCAGAATTATTTCCACCTGGCTGCTGAGAGGGATCAAGGAATAAGTGCCTTGTCTCTCGTCACTAATACTTGCATACCCTGAGATTACAGGGCTGCGGCTCAGACAGATACTTTGCTGAGACTCAAGTTACCATGAAACACACTCTGCCATCTGTATCTGTCCCAGAACTGAAAGGCCAAAAAAAAAAAAAAGCAGCAAAACAAATTATGTCAGTCAAAGAAAAAGAATAATTCTGTCTGGAGAATGTAGGAAAGGAAATTTGTTTGTGAACACATTAGCCATCTCAATATGATCCCTTCCCTGACCTTAATCGGGATTTTATGCAGGGCTTTAGGGATATTGCAGTGCGCCCTCTAACATCATAAATATTAATAAGTTTACATAAATAGGATCCTACATTCAAAGGCTGTGGGTTCATGTAAATGTTTTAATTTGAAAAGGAGGAGGGATAAGAAAAGGATAGCAAAGGTGATTTTTTTAACGTTTCTTATTTGATTTTTTGGTTTGAGCAGTCTATCTTCTTAGGCAAACCATTCAATTTCATGAATCTGGTACAAGAGGTGAGTCACAGAATGAATAGGCATCTCTCCATGGTTGTAAGAAATGATTCCAGCAAGTGCCTGCTTTCTGGCCTGCTGCCAGGGAGCCCAGCCCCTCACTCTGAGCAGTCCCCATATTCACCACTTTAAGAAGTTGGTGCAGTGCTCTCCCGGGAGAAGGAGCAGGTGGCAGTCCCAAACAAACCAGCCTATTGCACCTAGAAATCAGCTGCTCTGCGTGTAGCTTTTGCTGCCTGGGAAGCCAGGGGTGGGTTCCCTTTAGCTGTTCTCCTCCCACTCTCCTTAGGCCTCAGTTTCCCTGTCTGTGATGTGCAAGGGCAATTGCTTTGGAAGCCTGAAGGTGGTAGTGTGAGACCAAAGCAAAGTGAGATGCTTTCTCCTGCAGTCTGAGCTGACAGTAGTCCTCGGCAGATGATAAGAGATGGCCAAGAAGCTCCTGAGGTTGGACAGGCCCTATTTTTCATCCTCATTTTTCAAACTTACTGTGGTTTTCCCGCTTTATGCTGCTTGTGGTGTTGTTTAACAAAGCAGGATGAGGAAGGATGTATGCAAATATCTAGTTTTCTTTCCTCTAATAGGACTGGTTTTTTTTCTGCTTGGTCCTCATAGTCTCTTAGATTTATTTCCCTTTCTTTCAAAATTTGTCCTTAAGGAATTTTAAGTTGCTTACATTACCAATTACACCACATATTAACATCACTTTTTCATATTTTTCAACAGTTAAAATGTTTAAGGTCTTACCGTAGCATAGTTATTATGTGTTGAAACTAAATCAAAATCAAACATTCTGACTTTATACAAACAATCTGTTTCAAACACATTAAAGCACCATTGAAATTATGTTTCACGGAAATGTTTGAAACTATTAATTGGTTCTCATGGAAAGTCTCCAGTATATAAACTCAGCTGGTTTTGACACTTGTATACTTTCAGCACAGAAAATCTGCTACTACAGTTCATATTAATGCCAAATTTGGCCCATGAGGCAGCTGATATTAAACCACTGCCACCCAATTTCTAAGGGAACTATAAAAAACTGTAGATTCGAAGGATGCTGCAGGGAGCCTATATCCTCAACTTCTAAGCGAGACAGAAAAGTTGATCTGATGTGATGGCTCACATGGGACCAAGGGAAAAAAATGAAGAGCAAGAATGGTATTAAAAGGTGCTATAATCACCTACAGTCAAATTAAGACTGGTATTGCCTGAAACCCTTGATGCCATCAGCTCTCTGCCCTAACCTGCTCCCTAGCAGTTCTTCTTGTGAATCAAGGCATGAATATGCACCCAGAATTATGTCTGTAGCCATCTCCAATTTCAATTTAAGTTAATATTCTGGTTTAAGTCTCAATTTAAACTGAAGAAGGTCGGGAGAGGACATACATCCCATTCATCCATCCTTGCTGCAAAGTTATTAGCCTCCAAGCAAGGAAATGAAGCAGGTGCATGGGGATAGCTCACTTTACATCACTCAAGTGCCAAATATAAGCCATACAAGTATGGAGGTGGACATATACACAGGCAGGATTAAAGAGTAACATCAGTTTGAAATATCTTGTGGTCCTGTGAGAGAAGCATGCCAGCAGAGTGAAGTGGACATCTGTCTAAGCACATATGGGATGGGATCCGTGCCCCAATCCACATGTGTGGAAGTGAGCCACAGCTTACTTGGTGCTTTTAGGGGATTGCTGTATCCTTTGGCCAAAACCCCTTTCTGTATTGCACTGGTGCATGAAGGGTCTTTTAGACAGAGCTTTAAACTAATGACTTGAAACCAGCATAAAAGTTAAGTTTTTGCACCCTGTCATTAGCACGTGCCTCTGCCCCGTGTGCCCTGGCTGTGATAGCTGTGTAGGCACTGCAGAGATGGCTGGGTGCAGGCAGGCATGTGTTTGCTCTGAGCCAGCTGAGCCCTCCCTTATCTCTCCCCGCTGCCTTGGTGAAGCTTCTCTTCACGCTACTGTTCACCCGAATATCAATGAGTGAAAACAAGGCATTGCCAGCGTTTCGGAGGGGAGAGACGGGGGCAAATCACAGCTCTTTCTCTTTCTCCCTCTCTGTCTGTCTCTCTGTACCACACCTCCCCCAGCCTTTTTTTTATATATTACTAGGTTTAAAGCACAAACTGTACCCTGTGGCAAGTGTCTGATTGCAGATAGTTTTCTCAGCGTCCTCTCTTCAGATTGTATAATCCAAGCCCAGAAATGCTTCTCTGTTTATCCTGAAGTAACCCCTGCCTGTGGGCAAAGCTCTCCCCATTGCCCTGCCCCAGCTGCTATGTACTCACAGTTCACAGTGACCCGGACTTGCTTGACGTCTGCTGAGGCAACTTCGTTGGCAGCTTTGCACTCGTACTTGCCCGACTGCTCTCGTGTGATCCCCAGGATCTCCAGGTACTCCTCCTCACCTTCAAACTCTCTGCCTGGTAGGACAGAAAAATACAGAGAGTGGTTCTGTTAGGCTTTCAGATTTAGGAAATTGCTATGGAGGAACAATCACAACATGGAGTCTCCAAACAAGCAACAGTCATGAGCTGTTTTAAAGTTATTTCAGAAGCTGCTGAAAACTGCAAATCTGGAAGGCACCATACAGGTGGTACAATCCATAGCATCTCACAGGCTGCTGAGGCTGAGAAGCAAAATGTCCACCACGTAAGATCAGACTAAGTTCACTACTGTGATGGCTGAGTACCGCCAGAGGTTAGTCATGCTGTGGGTGATGTGCTGGACCTGGGGCTAGCTGGGTACTCAGATGTGTTGTCAGCACTCTTTTCTCCTGCAAAACTGGGAAAAATATCTTTCTGTCTCCCAGAGCAACCACCACCCTGAAGTGCCATCGATCAGATCAAGCTACTGTTAAACACAGCCAAACTGAGAGAAACAAACCATAATTTGATCTGCAGAGACCAATAATCATCACGCATCCCTGAGCTACTGTACATATGAAACGACACATTTAAAGCATTCTGCCTCACTTACACACTTTGGAAAACAGTGACTTGAGTGTCAGTCGGAGTTATGGATGGGGGCAGGAATCGGGGGAGGTCTGTGGCCCTGCTTTTAACTCACTGTGTGACCTTGAGTGAGTCACTCCTTTGCTCTCCCTCTGTAAACTGCGGCAAATAGCCCCCCCTCTCCCATCACCTCCTGGTTTGAGCAGGGCTGTGAGGTTAACCCATGTAAAACATATTAGATTCATTGCATGAAAATTGCCAGGGAAGCATGAAATATTAGGATTGGTATATCTACCCTATTCCTTCAAAAAAGAAAGCAAAATAAGTCACCTCCTGAAAAGAATCTGAAGCACATTCCTCCTCTCAGAGGGCTGCAAGCACTGCTTTGCAGCATTGGAAATGGCAAGCCCCAATTGTGTGCCTGTGTATGTTTAGAGAAATCAGCCCCCAACCCTAAAATGGTAAAAGACAGATTTGAAAAAAAAAAATAAAAAGTCAGATCACAAGAGCTCCCATTCAGGTTCCTCAGAGAGTGGTCAGATTTTCCAAAAAACTCTCTGCCCAGAATGGATTTTCTGCTCAACAGGTGCTGAGCACTTCTGAAACCCTGCCCATTTCACAAAAGTGCAGTTTTTGAGAGAGTTCAAATAGTACCTACTGCTCACCTTGGTTTATGGCACTGCATGAAAGCAGTGGCTAAGTCTGGTCTCTGGAGCTGAACTTCCCATTGAGCCACCTGCAACAAATCCCACCCCAGAGGCACAGACTTGCTGCAGCGTCTTGGCCAGGTCAGCCTGGCCACACACATTGGTGATGCCAGCTGAATGCAATTCCCTTCAGCATCAGAGAAGAACTTCAGAAGCTTCAAAATCTTCTCAGAACTCTGTCCCTTACATAATTATTTTGGTCTTTTTTTTTTTTATTTTTCTTTTTCACAGGCAATTTTCAGAATCATTCTAGGAGAAAACCACCCCCTGTCACAGAGACTCAGCATGAAAACAGTAGTGTACCTATTAAACTCATGTAAAGACAAAAGCTCCCCCTCTCTTTCAGCAGGGTTAATCAGCAGTCCCTTCTTCCAGCTCCTACCAGATGTTCAGGTAGCAAAAATCTCATTGCTATGTCTAAAATTTACAACTGCTTTGTTTTTTGCATCCCCCAACAGTCTGCTGCAGGACCTTCCTGCATGGCAGCAGCGTTTTGCACAAGGGAAGGAGGCAAAGTTGGCTCCTGCTGCCAGGACATGGCTCTCAGTCCTCTGGCCTGTGCTGGGGCTGATGCTGTGAAGAGTCATTGTAGAAGGAAGCAGAGTGGGTTTTTCACAGGCGTTTTTTATTGCTGGAAGTCATGAACATGTTAGGGAGTCCTAACCCCAGTAGGACTAGAATTATGTGAGTCTCAGAAATGTGGAAGGGACTTCAGTCACCATCTAATCTTTTCTGCAGTCCCAAGGCAGGACACATGAGTCATGTCATGGACACAGCCATCCTCTGCCATCCAGTGGCAGAGATTCTGCAGCCACTCCTGGCAATCTGTTCCTGGACTTTGCTGTCCTTACCACTGGAGCAGTTTCCTGAAATTTGACCTGAGTCTCCCTTGCTGCAATTTAAAGCTATTACTTTTGTCTTAGCCACTACAGACAAAAAGAACAAATCATTCCCTTCTTCCCTGCAATAGCCTTTTATCAACTTTTAAATCCCTTAGTTCCTCCCTCAGTTGTCATCTTTTTTTTTTTTTTTTCTTTTGGCTGAACATTGCCCAGGTCTTTCAAACTTCCTCTGTAGGTGATGTTTTTTTAGGCTCTTGATCATTCTTGTTCTTTGCTTTTAGACCTCTCTGACAAGTTTACATTTTTCTGGATGTGTGATACCCCAAGCTGAACACAGCATTTCAGATGAGGTGTTACCGTGGCTGAACACAAATGAAGGATTGCATTGCAACTACTGCACCATGCTGCTGTCTGTGAAGGCAACACATTGTTTCTGGTTTTGCTACAGCAGGGATAATTTCTGTTGGGAAACTCTCTTAATTCCCAGATTTTCTTATGGCGTATTGCTTGCATTGCTACCTGCTAATAAAGCACTTTAAAACTCCCACCCCCAAACTGAGCTGACAACCAACACTCCTCTCCTTTCACAGCAGCACTCCCAGTTGGCAGGTCAGTGAGTTGACTGGAAAGTTAATCAGACATCAGGGAAAGACTCACAAAGAAAAGGTTAAAACATAATTTGCCTCTGTTTTGCAACTCTGCCTTGTTTATACACAGGGTTCATTCCAAGTGAGACTTGCTTCTCCTGCAATTTGCCCTTGTCACAAGACTGTCACCATAATGAAGACAGGGTTGAGGGTGACTTAACCAGCTCTAATGGAGTGGCACCCTCATTACGGGTGCTGTTAAGTCTGTCAGAGAACTGCATCAGTGGAGCTCCGGAGTAACCTACAAGGGTAGATACCTTCCCAAGGGAAGATGTTTTTGAGCTTCTCCCCTGCATACATACATGCACTTGAAGTGTACAGTGTACCATGTCTGACAGGAGAGCTTTCACAGCTACATAGAACCCTTGCCAAGACATGATGATCTGCTGGCTTGCCCAGTGGAGTGCTCTGGAAGTAACTGAAAGGCCGGACTTCTAAAGGGCATGTCAAAAACATCAATAACCCATTTCAGCTCCTCATTCCCCTGCTTTAGGACACACATATAAACATAATACTTCAGGGAAAGTTTCTGTGACAGTCTTTTGCTGTATAAGTGGTAGCACTGTTCTTCTCTCTGCACTGGTGACCCTGAGCATCAACATTTTGTTACAAGAACTGAGCTGCTCTCACTTTCAGGACAGACCCTTTTCCTTGCCGCCTTGTCCCCTCTAAGAGCACATTAACCATTTCTAACAAAAAGCATTTATATAAAATTGAGGTGTTGTAGTACAGAGCAGGGAGAGGAAAGATGTATCACAGTGTGTTAGAGAAATGTCAGGTTGTGATATCTTGCAGAGAGCTGTAGAGATGTTTTCACTAATTCACTTTGGCAGCCAGATTAGGTGAGTCATATTAACTCTAACCTCTAAGGCAAACAGGGGGTGGGGGGACCAGGAACAGAGCTTTATACATCGAGTGAAATTACAAATGTTTCTGCACAGGAGCCAGCTTTGGTAGGGAACTGATGGTTGTCACTATGCAGTTTATCAAAGCAGGGAGGGAGAAGGCTTGGACAATGCTCTTTGGTACCGATAACAATGAACATATTCTATTAGGTGAAAGAGGGACTGCCAACTCCTGGCAAGAGAGCCACTCCATTCCCATTAGGAGAAGACATTTGCCTTGAGCAGATTATCAAAGGATGAAATTCTGACCGTACTGCCAAAGCTTCCTTGCTGACAAGGGTTGTCTCCTGGATGTTCTGCCTGGTTCAGTACAGCCCTTTCTCAGTGAGGGTCCTTTCAGGTTTCCCTAGGTGGATGACTTCTCACTCAGTGCAGCTCTAAACCATCCTAAACCATCCCCTTGCATCACTGCAGGCAACCTGCTTCCCTGCAGGTTTTTTGTCTTTCACATGTTCCTAGTTAGCTTGGTTTGTTGCTCCAGCCCCATTAAACACCATCTTGCCAAGCTGTAGCTCCTTAACTCTGTCCCAGTGAATCAGAAAGAGGAGCTTTCTGCTCTGGAGGCTGGAGATAGAGAGAGCATGAGCCCGGGAGGCTTGACAATCAAACCAAGAGGGAACGACCCTGAGCAGCGTGAGCCAGGCAGCTGCTGCTGCTTGGAGCTGGCTGAGCCTTTTTTTGCAGAGGGATCTGCGGCAGCAGCTTTGATGTGTGCAGCAGCAAGGCTTTGAAGGCCTGCTTGCCTCAGCCACATTGCCTATCCCCTGGCTTCCTAATTGGACCCAGTAAATAATGAAGCTGAACAGCAAATCTGCTTGGCTATGCTAGCCTGCTGGCAAGCAGCCTTCCTTTCCCCTTACCCTCTGGAAATAGCCTTGTACAACCCCATTGGCTCTGCATATTGTCCTGTTGCTGTGCACACCTGCCTGTGCTCTCATATAGATATGATATATATCTATATGCTATATTCTGTATTTTATATACTGTGTATTTTATTTGTTTTCACATCTATAAATCCACCTGTGTGTGCAGAAACACAGACTGACGCGTCCCCCAGGCATTTATGGGCCCTTCTCACCTCTACCCAAATGGCCCCTTGCACTGCCACGCACCATCACTCTTTCCTCAAAGGCTAAATGCTTCCTTTCTACAAATGACCCACACCCAGTCAAAATCCCACTTGTACTGTGTGCAGACAGCTCTTTCAGGTAGTCAGGGCCTGAAAGCAATGCATTCAGTCACATTCTCTACCAGAGAGGCCTTTCCCTTCATGCCCTAGTTTCTTACATCTCCAAAGGGGAAGCTGATCTCCAGAGGTGGCAAACACATTTTGTTTCATCTCCTCTCCTGTCCGTGCATCCAGCACCG